GAACCTGCGGGCTCAGGCAATCCACTCACCTCAGCCTCCCAAGGCATGGGATTATAGGCTGAGCCACCGAGTCCAGCTAAAAATTTTTTTTCTAAGTTTTAAAAATTAAAATTTTAATTTTTTAAAAATTTAAAGAAAGAAAAAGAATTGAGGGGAGCAACAAAAAACCTCCCAAAAAGCAGTTCTTGATCAGAGACTGCAGTCTCTATCCTGTGCTTATGGTCATAAACAGGGCCTAACAGGGACCCTTATCCTTCATACATATTCCAGAAATAGGACATGACATGACCCTGCACATTTCATTGCTTGCTGTGCTAATCATTACTAGAAATAAGATATACTTAGGATACCCTTGCAGTCCATTAGTCTGATGTTAAAGGTTTAAGATTCTTTTTCTCTCTTGGCATTCCTTCTGCTTCATTCATAAATGACTAAATTATGAGTAGAGAGTTAAAAAGTAATATGTCGTATGATCTCAAACTGCCTGAATTTTGAATCCTCTGAAGCCAATGTGTACTTGTCACAGGAATACCCCAGAAGAACTTGTCTTGTTCGGAGGAGTTCAAGGAACTGATGGACCTGCCGACATGTGGAGCCAGGAACTTAAAACATTTGGCCAAAGGCACAACCTCAGGTAGGGTCAGCTGCACTTGTGTGTCCGGGGTCCCTCTGCTCCCCAGGCACCCTCAGCCCGTGCATTTGTGGTTTGTGTTGCAGGCATCATGGGGAGTCTGAAACCTGCCATCCAGTCCATCTCGGCGTCAGCCCTCTTGAAGCAGCAGAAGCAGCAGATGTTGGAGATGAGGAAGAGGAAATCAGAAGAGATACAGAAACGGTAAGAGGTTTAATATTCCCCGCTCAGACAGGCATCCTCCGAATGTCTTTGCTGATTTCAAAAATACAACTTCAGATTTCAGCCGGCTCCATTTTTATTTATTTATTTATTTATTTTGAGTTGGAGTCTCACTCCGTCGCCCAGGCTGGAGTGCGGTGGCATGCTCAGGGCCACTTCAGTGTCGACCTGCTGGGCTCAGGCAATCTCCTCATCTCGGCCTCCCAAAGTGCTGGGATTACAGGCTTGAGCCACTGTGCCTGGCCTTCATCCATTTTTAACTCTGGAAGTTTTCCAGTCATTTTCTCACAGCCTAACCAACATTTTGGGCTATGTATTTCTAACTTGCCCTCATAATGCCTAACAACAAATGGTACAGCTTATAGTAGTGATGTCTCCGTGGAAAGGGGATAGGTGTGACATGTGAAGAGGGTTGTGAAAGGGAAGGGCACAGTCACCCGGTGGCTCTTTTCTTAGTTTGGCCACGGTGCGGTTTTTAATGACAGGCATAGCCACTGAGTGGATTATCGTAGTTGTTCTGGTGAATGAAAAACCTGAGACCCTGAAGATGGAGAGTCATTCTAGAGACAGAGTTAAGTTTTAAGGACATGCATGCCAAAGGTGGATGGATTGAAGATGCCTGAATTCAGGTTGTCTGAGGAGCGATCAGAGCCGGTGCTCACAGATGCTTCCCACACACCTTGCTGTCCACTCCATAAACAGCACCTCACTCCCCACAGGAGCTCTGGGGAGTCACCACCCGGCTTTTACTAATCAGGAACTGACAGCTAGTACGTGGCAAGGCCACAATTCAAACTCACACCTGGTCTGCTCCAGTACTGGACCATTTGCTGAACTAAATCCGACTGCTGAAAGGCAGATGGTTCTGTGGAAAAGAGTCAATTATGAGTCAAGAAGAAACTGGGGAGATGGGAGAATGGGCTTGGTCTCAGGCGTGCTGTCGGAGGAGGCGATAGATGTCTAGAAGAGGATTTGTGATGTGCCTGCAGGTGACATGGACACACATGTATAGGAGGGGGACCCAAAAAACTGGAATGCATTTATAAAAAGTTGTGTATTCTGTTGTGTTTAAACTTCAGTCACCTATAAAGTACTCTCCAAAGTATTTGATGCAGTACACCTGTCGAGATGAGTCTTGAACTCATCGATTTTGATGCCTTTGAGTGCTGCTGCTGTTTTTTGTGTCACCTCTTCCACATGGGCAAAACGTGTCCCTTGGAGGCCTCTTGTCGTTCGGGGAAACAAAAAAAGTCACTCGGGGAAATCGGGTGCGTAGGGAGCATGGGGCTTGGGAGTCATGCCATTTGGGGCCAAAAACGGCTGAACACTCAGCACGGTGTGGGCAGGTGCACTCAGAACTTGCCCCTCGCGAAATGGGCAAACGCTGAAAGAATCTCCAACAAAATGCGCTGAGGCTGGACACAGCCTCTCACAACTACTCTAGCCGGTACACGGATACTGATGGGCTCTTAGAACACTTACCTAGCGAGGGAAGCCCTACTAAACAAAGGGCCCACCCTCCAAAAGGTCATTCTGTTTTTGGGGTCCCCCTTCATATATGGACATAGAAGTGGAGGTAGAGTTGTGGACCTCGGGGGAAAAAGCACCTGTCAGCTGTCAGCTTGAAAGCATTACGACAGCCGGGCTCGGTGGCTCAGCCTGTAATCCCGCGCCTTGGGAGGCTGAGGTGAGTGGATTGCCTGAGCCCGTGGGTTCGAGACCCGCCTGGGGAACTTGGCGAGACCTCATCTCTACAATAAATCAAAAATTAGCCGGGTGTGGTAGTACGCGCCTATAGTTCCAGCTACTGGGAAGGCTGAGGCGGAAGGATCGCCGGAGCCCAGCAGGTCGAGGCTGCAGTGGCCCGGAGTGGCCACTGCACTCCAGTCTGGGTGACAGAGTGAGACTCCAACTCAAAAAAAAAAAAAAAGAAAGAAAGCAAGCATTACAATTGGAAAATGTTCAGAATTTTACTGGCTAAACAAAACTTATGTCTGGGCAGGATTTGATAGGCAGTTTGCCAACTCAGCCTAGTGCTTGCAAGATTGGATATGGTGGTGCTAGTCTGGGATTACCTGGCACTAGTCTTGAACTAGCACTTAGGAGCCATGGAATCTTGAGCCTCAGTTTCTTCATCTGTCAAATAAGAGGTTTGAGTGAGATGATGATATCTGAGATTTGATGTTGTTTTTAAATAGCTCTTAAAACTACCTATAAAATAATCACTGTGAAAGTTACAAGGGCTTTTCAGTCAAGGACTTACAAATGTCTTACCTGTACTGTCTCTTCCCGGTAGTGTAAACTGAAATGTAGAGTGAGACGGTGAGTTCCTGCAGGCCCCAGGACTAATTGTGGGGCTGGGTATACAGGCCACAGCTGAACTTCAGGTCTGTGCTTTGTGGACAACACCCACTGGACAGGTGATTGGTAGCACAGTAACCAGTTCTAAAGTAGTCGGACAATTATAGCTTATTCAGTGAATAATTAACCAAAGAGTTTGAATCTAGCACTGTTCTTACCATGTGTGAATTTGAATCACCAATCAAGGAGAAGTTATTTTACTACGACTGGCTACCAGCTAGGGGCCTGTTTGCAGCCTCCCAGTCACCGTGGGTTGTGGAGTCTTCAACTTTGTAAAGATGCATGTCTCTTAAAGGTTTCTCCAAAGCTCAAGTGAGATCCAGCGCCCTGCCGTCCCCTCATCTCGACAGCCCTCTGCTAAGTCTCCACGGACGGGGGCTGAGTTCTCCAGACTGGAGGGAGCCTCAGCCCCATGGACCCCCAAGCTGGGGCGAGGCATCTCAGAAGGAGATGACGTTCTCTTTTTTGACGAGTCACCACCACCAAGACCAAAACTGAGTGCTTTAGCAGAAGCCAAGAAGGTAACTGGCTTCTCTTTAACACTTGAACTTGAATTCTGTAAGGCAGCTTGGGCTTTCAATTCTATATCCTTACAGCCAGGAAAGACAGACCCCTAATAGCCTTTTGTTGATCATGATAATTAAAGTCAAATAATTTCAAAAGATAGTGGTGTTAACTTAATACTATTAGTTTTAATCCAAGAAAATTAGACTCATTATCTCAACACCTTTTCTTGTTAGGCTGCAAGAGATAGCCTCAAGAAAGATATTGTTTTATAGCCAGAGACAAAAGTCAAGGTGACTCACACCTGTAATCCCAACACTTTGGGACACCAAGTTGGGAGGATTGCTGGAGCCCAGGAGTTCCAGACCAGTTTGGGCAACATAGTGAGACCCTATTTCTATAAAACATTTTGAAAATTAGCCAAGCGTGGGTGTGTAGTCCCAGCTACTTGGGAGGCTGAGGCAGGAGGATAGCTTGAGTCCCTGAGTTCGAGGTTACAGTGAGCTGTGATTGCACCACTGCACACCAGCCTGGGAAACAGAGTGAGACCCTGTCTTTAAAAAAAAAAAATGTGATCTTATGTAGAATCTAGTCCATGGAATCACCAACTAAGGAGGCCAGTGAAAGCTGAGTTGCTCTGGCTGAAGTGGGTGGGGACACCCAAAGCTCCAGCCACCCTCTTCCTGAGTCCCCTGACTCAGCCTGTCTCTCCTCTAACTGCAGTGTAACCAAATTAAGGACAAAGGCCACTTAACAGCCAAAGCCTTGCCTACAATACTAACAACAGTAACACCAATAATAAAAACCACTGCCCATGTTTATAATATTACTCTGCACCTGTGCCATGCTGTTTACTATGTTCAGGCACGTGCTTTGCATACATTATCATTTCCTCCACACAATCATGACCTTAAAAGATAGGTTAATGCAATCATCATCCCCGTTTTACAAAGGAAGAAACTGAGGCTGAGAAATTAAATAATTTGTCTCAGGTTATGAGCTAGTCGGTGGCAGAGAGAGATGGAATTCTGTCCTGTCTGATTCTGAAACTTCCAAAATGGCGATGTAGTTCCTTTATGGATCTCGAAGCCTACAGTCTTTTTTTATATTTAAGTAAACCGAGACTCTATTCATCAACTTGTAGACCTGTCTCCCATGCTGTTAAATTCTATTAATTGTTCTAATAATGCTAAGTAAAGTGAAGACATATTCTGCCAGTTTCTATTAGAGAACTGCCAGAATTCACTGGTTAGTAATCAGAAAGGTGCCGGGGCTATAAGTACTTCTCAACTTTTAGATCTTTGCTTCCCTCCCTTTTCTTCTTTTCCAGTTAGCTGCCATCACCAAATTAAGGGCAAAAGGGCAGATTATTACAAAAACAAACCCAAACAGCATTAAAAAGAAGCAAAAGGACCCCCAGAATGTCCTGGAAGTGACGGAACGTGTAGAAAAGAACATCACATCTTCTCCTCAAGGTATCTCAGCTGCAAAGAAACTGTGGGAAAGAGAAAGTGTTTATAGGGACAGGTTCTAATCCACAAGCAGCCCTGATATCAAGTTATTACTGTTTTTAGTTTCCCTCTGTAGAATACCTAATAGAACTTCTGTCGCTGGAACTGATGGCTTTTTACAATCCCATTAAACAGGAATGAAATCGTGTGCAATTTGAACACTTGGGAAAAGGATTGCTCATTGGATCTTCATATGTATGTGTTAGCCTGAAGATTTTTTGTTTTTGAGTCAGAGTGTCACTCTTGTCCAGGCTGGAGTGCAATAGCACGCTCAAGGCTATCGACCTGCTGGGCTCAGGCAATCCTTCCACCTCAGCCTTCCAAGTAGCTGGAACTACAGGCACACACTACCATGCCCGACTAATTTTTTGATTTTTTTTTTTTTTTGAGTTGAAGTCTCACTCTTTTCACCCAGGCTAGAGTGCAGTGGCACACTCACGGCCCCTGCTGGGCTCAGTTGATCCTTCCGCCTCAGCCTTCCAAGTAGCTGGAACCATAGACACACGCCACCCGCCGGCTTATATTTTGATTTATTGTAAAGACGAGGTCTCACCAAGTTGCCCAGGCTGGTCTTGAACCTCCGGGCTCAGGAAGTCCTCTCACCTTGGCCTTCCAAAGTGCTGGGATTACAGGCTGAGCCAAGTACCTGGCCTAATTTTTTGATTTATTGTAGAGACGAGGTCTTATCAAGTTGCCCAGGCTGGTCTTAAACCCCTGAGCTCAGGCAGTCCTCTCACCTCGGCCTCCTAAAGTGCTGGAATTATAGGCATGAGCCAGTGTGCCCAGCTAGCATAAAGATTTACCTTGAATGTGATAGAATTTTTTTGTTTTAAATCGCCCTAAATTTATTTTTAAAACTCCAAAGTTGACAGTGCCATTTAAAAATTAGATTGTAAATAGAATTTTTGTTGTTGTTGTCTATTATCTATTTTAAGGTAAAAAAGAGATTTTAGTCTGGTGGACAAATCTGCTACCACCCCATATTCCAGGCTCTGCTTCTTAAATCACTTCTTGAGAGCTTCTCCTTGCTGGGACCAGCAGGGGTAGGTCAAGTTCAAAGGGTGGTCTGATAAGCAAAGAGCGAGAGTGGAAGGAAGGTGAGCCAGTGAGGCACTCTGGCTTTCTGAAGTTTCTCTGTCACAGCTATTGTTTGTTTTCTGCCCTAGCCGAGGATGAACTGGAGCCTGCCAGGAAAAAAAGGAGAGAGCAGCTTGCCTACCTGGAATCTGAGGAATTTCAGAAAATTCTAAAAGCAAAATCAAAGCACACAGGCATCCTGAAAGAGGTCAGAGCCCAAAAGATCAAGGATGACGTTGATGTCCTTCAAAGCCAGGGTGCATGCCGGAGGACAAGAGTCTGTTTCTTTTATATAAACCTAGAAGTAGCTGTGTGTCAGTTTGCGTTTGCTTTGAAGAAAAGGAGAATTTATTCTAATAGACTTTAGCTTTGTCCTTGTCCTTGCACTGAAGAATATCATTCAACTTAATATGACTTAAATAGATTTCAATATTATAGAAACATTTGCATGTGGTTGTGGCTGGGCAATTATGTTTAAATGGCTCTACTCTGTTACTATTTTCTGCCTTGCAATATGGGAAAGAATTTTTTCCATTTCATTATTATATTGGCATTTCAAATGCTCTAAATCAGTAGTTAGCTCTCACTCCCAGGGCTGTTTTTTAATACCAAGGATTTTGTACTGCTTTCCCATTATCTTGAAATAAAAATCATGGATAACATAAATTACCTATACTAGTCACTTCAAAAATATCAGTATACTATCCTAACTAATGTAAAGAAGGAAAAGGTTATGATAAAAATATGTATCTCATGACATAAATATTTAGACAGAACTACCTTAGAAGAAAAAATGAAGTCAGCGGCTTGGATTTATATTTGTAGGTGTGACAGCTAGAAATGAAAACTCATATAGGTGTGTTTTCTTGGTGCCATGAATGCCATGGGCCTGTTTCCTTGGTAATGTGTTTTGTTTTTGAGATAGGATCTCATGTTGCCCAGACTAGTCTTGAATTCCTGGGCACAAGCAGTTCACCTAACTCAGCCTCCTAAGTAATTGGGACTTGATAATGTGGGTTTTTCTAAAATACAGTGAATAATCCAGAGAAACCAAAGTACAGTTGTCCATATCGTAGGATTGTGTAGACAGCAGTTCAGTTTTAGGGTTATAATCGGGTTTCTCAGCCACACAGATAGCCCACAGAACGCCTGGAAGCCATGTGGAGCTAGGAACAGTCCTTTGTGTGGGCCACCCTCCCAAGCATTGCAGAAAGTACAGTTACCCTGGTCCCTGCCAGCAATGGAAGCGGCAATTGTGATAACAAGTGCTCCCATAAAACGTCCTCTTTAAACACTACTCTGAATGATCTACTCTTCTTTTAATCAACAAATAACTAAGGAGACCATTGTGCACCATATCTTTTCGCTGAACTTGACACTCAGGAGCGGTGCCAGGGCTGACCCTGAGCTATGGAACTAAGTTCCTCCCACGCTGTGACTCCCAAGGCCCTGGGCCCTCTGGGCTATATAGTGGCACTAACCCCAGTGCTGCATCTGCGTTCTGCCATAAACATCTGTCTACCCTCATGCTTGCTCGCTGTTGTTTCAGTGCACCCAGGAAGTCCTGCCAGCTGCTCACTGGGGAGGCCTGGAGTACCTTTTTTATGTGGACTCTACTGGAACAGTAGAAATAACTGCTTTTGGGTACACACTTCACATAATGCCACTGTTAGTAACATTAGCAGGGCTGGGTGCAGTGGCTCGCACCTGTAATCCCAGCATTTTGGGAGGCTGGGTAAGGAGCATCCCTTGAGGCCAAGCATTCAAGGCCAGCCTGAGCAATATAGTGAGACTGCATCTCTACCAAAAAAAAAAAAGTTTAAAAAAATTTGCTGAGCATGGTGGCACATGTCTGTAGTTCCAGCTACTCAGGAGGCTGAGGTGGGAAGATGGCTTGAGCCCAGGAGTCTGAGGCTACAATGAGCTGTGATCTCACCCCTACACTCCAGAGTGAGACCCTGTCTCTAAAAAAAAATAATAATTTAATGTTGGCGGTGTTTGTTTGTATTTCATGTTCTAAAAATCACCAGATGCTTTTGTATCCCCTGTTTGGCCTATGAAGGGCTCATTTCTACTTCTCCTCTTTCAGTTTGCAGCTTATCAAGGTACTCTTCAGGTCCTCTGACATTCAGCCTGTGTTTTTGGTTCTGTCTTGATTGTTATCAAACTGAGTGATTTGAATAGTTGTTGACTCATTCTTCCTGAGCTGTTGGATGTGGTGCCAGGTCTCCCATATGCCTTGTCATTCCAGGCCGAGGCTGAGCTGCAGGAATGCTATTTTGAGCCACTGGTGAAAAAAGAACAAATGGAGGAAAAGATGAGAAACATCAGAGAAGTGAAGTGTCGAGTGGTGACTTGCAAGACGGTGCGTGAATGTGGGGCTTGCCTCCTTGGGCCCTGTTTGGTGACATGGAAACACAGGGTGGGGGTGGCCAGGGACCCACCCACAGGGCATTTGTCAAGCAGGTTCTCCTCTTTGGACCACAGCCCTGGTTCTGGGTGGGCCCGACGTCCCCTCCCCTTGACCACTGGACCCAAGGGGTTCTTGTCACTCTTTCTTGAGTTCTGACATGCCCCCGCTCAGTGTTCACAGGCCCTGGGACCTTGGCTGAACTTGAGTTGTCATCCAGTGTTAGGATCACAGACGTATCATATGTCCCATGCTGTCCCTTCTCTTCATGGCTTAACCTGCCACACTGAGTCTGAAGTCGGATTGTGGGTTATATTGTCATCTGTGTTTGTGGAATTTTTATCCTAAGTCCTAGAAAAATCTTCAGTCCTCTGTTCCTCAGCATTAATGAAAAATGACAAGAAAAAAAAAAGTTCTTGCTGAGCACTGCTCCCACCATGGCCACTCGTTCCAAATACTACTGTGTGGTGAATAAGCTGATAAACACATGGAAGAGGAGGGAGAGGCTGAGCTCACCCAAGTACCCTTTCTTCTGTTCCTTTTAACACCTTAGCTTCTGTATAGTTGGGGGTCAGCCCTGAATCAGCTACCACCCAAAGGCAGGGCTTCCCTGAGAAAGTTTATACCTTGGAGAATAAGTAAAGATGATTATTTTGAGCATAATTTTTGGAAACACAAACTTGCCATTGCATTTTGTGGTGACAGTTTTACGCTGACACAGCGGTGAACCTAAAGACAGAGTTGGTGTATTAGCTTCCTGTATGCTGCTGTAACAAATGACCACAGACAGGTGGCCTCGAACAATGCAAATGTATTCTCTGCTCTATAGGTCAAAAGTGTAGGTGGGTCTCACTGGGCTAAAATCAGGGTGCCGGCAGGCCTGTATTGCCTTCTGGAGGCTCTGGGGTTCCCTTTCCTTGCTTGCCCACCTTCTAGAGCCATTCATAAAGCACAACTGCTTCCTTCCAGCAGTAGTGGGTTGACCTCATGCCATATCACTCAGTTCCTCTCCTGCCTCCTTCTTTGACTTTCAAGAACCCTTGTGATTACGCTGGGCCTGCTGGATTGTCTGGGATAATCTCCCTGTCTCGAGATCAACTGATTAGCAAGCTTCATTCCATCTGCAGCTTGACTTTCCTTTGCCACATAATACAACATACTCAAAGTTCTGGGAATAGGGTGTGCACGCCTTTAGAGCCCCATCATCCTGCCAGCCACAGAAGCATAGCACTTGACTTGGCACTTTCTGAGGTTGCCAAGGTATAGAGTAGTTTATCAAACTCAATGTAATTCCCAGAAACTACACTGCTCTCTCCTGCCCTGGTTTCACCCTTCCCCCTCCCCTTCTCGTTCTCTTGGTTTTTTATTTTTTGTTTTAGTTGTAGTCTTACTCTATTGCCCAGGCTGGAGTACAGTGGCACGCTCACGGCCACCACAGCTTCAACCTGCTGGCTCAGGCAATCCTTCCACCTTAGCCTTCTAAGTAACTGAAACTACAGGCATGCGCCACCACACCCAGCCAATTTTTTTATTTATTGTAGAGACAAGGTCTTGCCAACTTTCCCAGACTAGTCTTGAACCCCTGGGCTCAGGCAATCCTCTCATTTCTGCCTCCTGAAGTGTTGGGATCACAGGCGTGAGCCACTGCATCCAGCCCATTCTCTTTAGTTTTTCTGAGGATAAGAATTAAAAGTGAATTACTTAGTATTTCTGTCTTGGCTTTGCTGCTTATGAAGTAGGAGTAATAATAAGCCTATATCCTTTTCATAGGTCTTATGAGAAGAAAACGAAAGGCCTACTAATCAGCCTTTCTAAATACGTCCCAAGTCACAGTGTCCTGTATAGTTAAGGGACTGTCATGAGTCTAGCACAGATCAACCCAAGCTACTTAGAGGTTTATGATACAGTGCTCTTCTTCCAGCCTTCCTTCAGTCTTTTATTTTGAGTTGGAGTCTGACTCTGCCACCCAGAGTGGAGTGCAGTGTCATGTTCACGGTCACCACAGCCTCTACCTGCTGAGCTCCGGTGATCCTTCCACCTCAGCCTTCCAAGTAGCTGGAACTACAGGTGCTTGCCACCACTCCCATCTAATTTTTTTATTTACTGTAGAGATGAGATCTTGCCAAGTTGCCCAGACTAGTCTCAAACCCCTGGGCTCAGGCAATCCTCTTGTCTCTACCTCCCAAAGTACTGGGATTACAGGTGTGAGCCACCATGCCCGGCTTACTCTTCTGGTCTTTACGCCACAGAAGGTTGTGTACTTGGTGCCTATCCAGAGATTGGGGCCAGTGAGAGAAAAAGTGGTATTGGTCTGAGTCCCCTGAGTCACTGCGGTGAGAGGTTTAGGTGGTCCAGTACCCTGGCGGTGACCCAGGCGGTAATGAGAGCAGAGATGGCTGCAGAGGTCATTGCCCTGACCAAGCTCACCAGCTCCTCCCTGGAAGCCTCTCACCGGCGGCCTTGATTTTGTGTGGTTTTGTGCAGTGCGCCTACACCCATTCCAAGCCTCTGGAGACCTGCGTCATCGAGCAGCACGACTACCACTGGCACGACGGTGTGAAGCGGTTTTTCAAGTGTCCGTGCGGAAACAGAAGCATCTCCCTGGACAGACTTCCGAACAAGCACTGCAGGTATGAGAAGGGCCTGGGCCCACGCAGGGATCAGGAGCTTTCTCCAGTTGCTCTGCGATTCCGTCCCTGGCAGCATGGGATGACACCGCATGCCTTCTTACGGCTCCTGGCTATGCCTGAGACTCGAGTTGCCACCTGACATCCCTGGAAGGACGGGACCCTGGCCTGGTCACTGCTGAGTCCCAGCGCTTCACACAGTGCCTGACCGTGGGAGGTCTCAGAAGCGCGAGTGGGCACAGTGGCCCGTGCGCGTCGGGGCTCAAGGCGAGGTGAGATTTCCTTCTCGCGCCATTCAGGTGTCATTTGTTCACTTGAAGCGTCTTGAGCCGGCACAGTGGCGCAAGCCTGCAGTCCCAGCACTTTGGGAGGCCGAGGTGCGAGGACTGGCTGAGCCCAGGGGTCAAGACCAGCCTGGGCTGGTGAGCCCTTGTCTCTACAATAAATCCAACAATCAGCCGGGTGTGGTGGCGCTTGCCTGTCAGCTCCAGCTGTTTGGAAGGCTGAGGTGGAAGGGTTGCCAGAGCCAGCAGGTCGGCGGTGGTGTGGCCGTGAGTGTGCCACTGCACTCCAGCCTGTGTGACAGAATGAGACTCCAATGCAAAATAAATAAAGATAAACGTAAAATGAAATGTCTTGAATATGTAAGGACAGCCGTCCCTCTGTATTCACAGGGGATTGGTTCCAGGGCTTCCCCCAGGATACCAGAATCCACAGATGTTCACGTCCTTGATACAAAATGGCAAAGTACCTACATAGACCCTACACACATCCTCTTGTGTACTTTGTCTCTAGATTACTTATAGTACCTAACACAGTGTAAATGCTATGTAGATAGCTGATATAACCATCAAAGATACCTGTTTTTAATTTTTTAGTTAATTTACTATAGAGACAAAGTCTCATCAAGTTGCCCTGGCTGGTCTTGAACATATGGTTTCTTGCCTCCGCTTCCCAAAGTGCTGGGATTACAGGCATGAGCCACCGTGCTCGGCTGATTCACGATATCTTCTGAGTAGCTGGACACAATTCTCCTCCTCCCCATCTAGATCACCTTCTTGGACATCTGAGCGTTGGCTGTCCCCTTTCACTTGCCTGTGCCCATGTGCCTACCCTTCTGGCAGGTCAAGGTGTTTTTTTGGCATCAGTCCCAGGAATGGACAATCATGGGCTTGTGGATGATCAGCCCATCTTTGATCTGCCTCCAGATCTGCTGATGGGATTTGGCAATGACAGTTTCATTGGTCTCTTGGGGTCTAACCAGACTTTCTTTTTGCTATGTAGCATAGGACACTAGAGGAAAGCTTCTTCTGAAGCTTGAGCATACTCATGGCTGTGGCTGCAGCAGCCTCTTTTTTTTCGAGTCAGAATCTCTCTCACTCTGTCACCCAGGCTAGATTATAGTGGCATAATCACAGCTCACCGCAGACTACATCTCCTGGGTTCAGGCAATCCATCCGCCTCAGCCTCCCAAGTAGCTTGGACTACAGGGGATGCCACAGCGCCCGGCTAATTTTTAAATTTTTTTTGTAGAGACAAAGTCTCACTATGTTGCCTAGGCTGGTCTAGAATTCCTCAAGTGATCCTCCTGCTTTGGCCTCCCAAAATCCTAGGATTACAGACATGAGCCACCACCGACAGCCGATTATTTCTTTCTTATCACAACCTTTTAGCAGGATAGGCCATAGACTACCCTGCACCAGAGGTTGGCTTCCTAATCTGATTCTCGTCCTAGCAACTGTCAGTCACAGCCAGGAGTGCACTCACCCACTGCAGTATACATAGCCCTGTGGTGTTAGCCATCATTTGAAACTCCATCTCTGGAATCTCTAACTTACTAAGGAATTGAAGACCATTTCTCAAGTCATTGCAGTGTTTGTTTTTAGTAACATTAGAGCATAACCTTAGCTTTGGCCTGTAACATGGAGTCACCTTGAACAACCTCTCCTGGAGTGTGGGACATGAGCGGCCACTCTCCCCCTGAGTGCAGTGAACACCGGTGTCCTTGTTTGCAGGCCTGCTCCTCCCCACTGAGGAAATCTGTCTTTCTGTTTCAGCAACTGTGGCCTCTACAAATGGGAACGCGACGGAATGCTAAAGGTATGCCATTTGCTTTCTCACTTGTGACTAATTTTAGTGAACCATGCAAATAATGTTGACCCATTTCTTATTGAAATATTTTCAATTTCCTAGGAAAAGACAGGTCCAAAGATAGGGGGAGAAACTCTATTACCAAGAGGAGAAGAACACGCCAAATTTCTGAACAGCCTTAAATAACGTCGACTTCAGATATCTTCCCATCATCTTCCTTGCATCTTTTGGCTCTGGAGAGGGAAGGCATGGGCCCTGCATTGCACGTATTCCTGACTGACACTGTCAGAAGCAAGTGCATAAACTTTGCCTACTTACTACCTTCCATTGTGTCGGTTTAACATCAGACATTGACACTTTGGTGGAAATCCAAGGTATCATCTTTCCTGTCCTTACTATGGATGACTGCATCACTGCTTTCACACAAACTTTTTGCCCAAAAACTAGAAGGTAAACTGGGGATATGTTTCTATAGCTCTTGGTTATAGAGTTTTCGCTCATGTATCATAAGAAAGTTTGAGGGTTTGTGTGGACACCCAGGAGCAAAAGACTTAATGCAGCTTACCTCTCACCCCAGGGTAAGTTGCTTGATTCCTGGGCTTCAGTTTCCTTATCTGTAAAATCAGGAAGATGGGACTAAATGATCTTGAAATGTATCTTACAGTATTCACATGCTGCAAATAATGTGACGTCTTTCCATCTAATTATAATCATTGCTTTTAATATAGTCTTTATGTACTGATATTGAATGCCAGATTCAGGTGTGGCGACCCACACCTGTAATCCCAGCACCTTGGGAGGCTGAGACAGCAGTATCAGTTGAGGCCAGGAGGTCAAGACTGCAGTGAGATGTGATCATGTCACTGCACTCCAGCCTGGGTGACAGCAAGTCCCAGTCTCAAAAAATAAATAAATATACAAAAATAAGTAACTAAAAGTCGGATTCCCTCTTTTCTACTGTTTTCTCTGTTTTGCTCTTTGAGATGGATTAAGTCACTGAACCATTTTGCATTTCAGTTTATATATATAAAGAGGGCTCTCTGCTCTTACAGAATCGTAGAGCTCTCTAACAGAAGCAACTCAAATCTCATCATTTTAGGTTTGGATTTATTTAATTGACCCTGGAGCTTTGTGATGGAAATACCTCAAATTTCATTTTAAAGTATGGATGTATTTAATTATGACTTAAAGAAACCTGACATTTTGGTTAGGGAACATTCCACGAAATTTGAGAATCTGTGAAGCATGACTGAAATACAAATGTCCATCATGACAGACTCCATGGAGTTGGGGTCTGCAAGTGAGCCTTATTATACACAGTAAGAATGAACGGTCAGACCCTAGACAAATTGCCACGACAAAAATTCCATTTAGGAAATTCCTCTGTCTGGACAACCTGATTTTGCAAATATGAATGTTGATACCACTTAAAAGTTGGATAAATTGGTGGGATTATCATATGGGCACTTAAACTCTAACTAGAAATAGCTTGGGTTTCCCCCAAGATAGTATTATGTTAGGGACGTGACACTTTTGGGAGGTAGCTGTGGGAGGTGGTTGATATGAGTTTTCAAGAGCCAAAAATGAAATTCACATGCCTTAGGTTTCTTTTTTTTTTTTTTTTTTTGAGTTTGAGTTTGAGTTTGAGTCTTACTCTGTCGCCCAGAATGGAGTGCAGTGGCCGCTCCCAGCCACTGCAGCCTCGACCTGCTGGGCTCCAGCGATCCTTCCACCTCAGCCTTCTGAGTAGCTGGAACTACAGGCACGCACTAAC